TAACCGTCTGGCCATGCTGGGCCGATTTAATTATGAATTATGAGTAAAACGTTATTTTCTGTCTTTTTTTTTTTTTAAGAGAGCATTTTGTGATATCAATTTCCAGTTCATGCATCCAGTAAATGAAAGGCTTTCAACATGTTTACTTAAGATTTGTTAAATTTTCCTAAATCATTGTGAGCAGAAACATTTGCTTAAACTTCATAATATTTATATTCACACTTTCGTGCGTAACTTAAGAAGTTTTACTTATTTTCTTATTCCGATTGCAAAGCAATTCTACAAAATCTTCTATATCTATAACAAAACCTTATACAAACAGTATGGTACTGCTTAAAATAATAATTTAATTAAAGATGACTTTGATAAATACTCTCGGGAAAATTAGCCTGAAGAAGCTTATGAAACTAGCCAGCCAAGTCGTAATTGGTTTTGAAACCTTTCTAGTGTTATGCAAGTATAAGCCGTATTTAATATACCAGCTATCACTCCAAGTGGGATTTACTTAGATGAAATAGATTGTAAATTTTAGTGCTATTTTTTACGTAACAGTGCCATACGTTACTTTTGTTGTAGCTTATTATCTATACTATTATTAGGTAATACTTATGAAAATTTGAGTGAACTAGATATCTTAAACTTGACTGGTATGAAGTTATGAACGTGTGATATCAGAATTTAATATAAAAAAGGTGTTACTAAAGGGGAAGACAAAAATATAGAAATGTTTTCGAAAAGTACTTTTCAATTGATGTGATTTTAGGAAGTATAACACCATTAACTGTAAATATATCTTCAAGTACTTTGATAAAATATGTTCAGAAGTCAGTGAGTCTTGAATAAATTAATTTTAATTTTCTTATGAGCATGCCGTTTTGTAGCCAGAATATATGGAAAACTCAAATCGAGGGTCGCTTTACAGTATGAACAAGAATGTATCGTTATAATACAATGACCGTATTGTATTGTATTCTTCTAAATTAGAGCTAATAATACATAGTGTTATAGGATAACACGTATAAGAATAAACACGCTGATTATTTTACATACCGAAGTACTTTCTAGAGAAGAGTAGATTTGGCCCACGATTAGAAATCCTGTCCTTTAAAACCATTAGAAATGACAGTTCAATGGAACAATTTAGATAATTTCATCACATCACTTAGGCTACAATTATGTTCGTAATTATGATGAAAAGGCTTTCATTTTGATAGAGATTGCAAATTCTTAAATTGATAGTTATACCTTACACTACCTTATAAATGTTATATATATATAACAAGTTTCCTTATAAACAATTCATGATATCTCATTTGTGGATGCAATTTCAAACAGAATGTTAAACATATCTCACCAGAAAATTTAGCAATGCGAGAGAAATATAAATAGCCAGATAAATGATTACCTTTGATACTGATACTTCACCACTATGTCATGTTGTGATTTGAGGTCAACAGCGACGCCACATCTGTAAGATTTAATATATATATAAGAAATACTAGTATGGTTATTGTAAGAGTAAAATTGCAGAGAAATAAATTTTGGAAACATAAAACAAGACTCTTCTTTCTTAGGGAAAATTGTTTGAAATTACAAGTTAAGAATAAGCAAACTATACTATGATTTATTTTTTCTGTTGTTAAACTTCCCTTTTAATCTTCTTTCTTCTATTTGTCTCTATGCTGTTTGTATCCAAGTAGGAAGGATAAGTATGAAAAGCGGATCGATCGTTACCTGTTGGCTGAAGCAAATGACTATACTTATATTTATCCACTTAAGTTTTTTTATTTATTTCTTGACATGAAACCTAACAGAAGACGGCCAATATTAAACGTGTTATTATGTAGTAACATTGGGGTGATCATACTCCAGGGGTTAGTGTATTCGGACTTGGAATCCAATAATTTATGGCTCGAATCTTCTTGCCCACAGAAACGCTTTCCGCACTTTTGGGCCGTATTGGTGATCAAGTCCTTTCGTTGAAATAAGAATAGCTAAAGAGTTGGAGTTAGGTTGTTTTTACTCTAATATAAATTAGTTTATAATTGAGGACAACTATGAGCAGATAGCACTTGTGTAGCTTTGCGCAAACATTTCCAAAAAGAAATGAGAAAACTGCAGGAATGATGAGGGTATATTTTATGATGTTTTCACACACACAGAAACTTCATAAATAATTTAGTTATGTTCCGACATCATACATTAGGACCTAGAAACTGCTAAAAAAATTTACACTCCATTGAAACTATTTTCAAAGGTTTAAATAATAGCTTTATTGCTAATATCTACAGAAACGTATATATTTGCAATTAAAAAACACTTAGAAGTCTGGTACTTGAGCGTAACAATAAAGGCTTGAAGAAAATGTTACTTTATGAGTTTTTTTTCTTTCTGATATTAATTACAGTGTAAAATATTAATGTTAACATCAGACCTGTGTGAAGATATTGAAACGAGCAAATGCTGGAAAATAACACTTTAGAACTAATTATATCAGACTTGGTATAAAGCGATACCTGTCGGAGCAATTTTTGAGTGTATTTGTGACCTCAGCAACATGTTGGAGCTGACAATTAATTAATACATCTATAAAATATAAAAGTGGTTAAGTGACTTATAATAGAGGTGTGTCAGAGAAATGCTGAAAGTGCATCTCATTCAATCAATAAGAAGTTAGACTGCAAACTAATGAGAAATCCCCATCGATAAAGAACAATAGACAAGCTTTCTTTTATCTGCTGTGATTATTGACTTTCGAGAGAATTCTTCTACAATTTTAAGCCATTATGTTCGCCTACGGTGTTTCAATATCGACATTCTTCTAGAAATTTATGACAAATGTAGTTTCCCTGCAATATTTTAGCAGTTTTTCAAATATCCTCAAGAGTTTTCTGATTTCTTTTTCGCTCTAATAGCAGTTACAATCAGTATGGTATGTTGTTTCTTCTTATACAGATATTTTCATCCTACGCCTTTTCAATAATTTCTTTGTGCTGATTTTCTTCATTAAATTTCTTGTTTGTTTAAGTTTAACTTTTAGTTACGTTTTTTTTCTCTTTTATTACTCCTATTTTGTCTATTCTAAACCTTAATCCAGTGAAGACAGATTTTTTTATTTATTTAAAAGTAAATTGAAGGATGCAAATTTTAAGATAATTCATGACGCAACGTTCACACACACACAAACAAACATATGTAGTTAGTCCTAACAACAGTTCTTACGTATTAAGTATAATGTTTAGTTGAAGTAAGATTGCCATGGCTTAAAACGGTATTTATAACAAAAATATACGTCTGATAATATACTCCTTTTGTGTATTAAGTGTTTCTAAAGCAAATAAAATTGTTTTTTGTGAAATTTATCGATATTGACAAGGAATTTACTCCAGTTTTCTATCACACCTTAATTTCAAATATTGTTTTTCAATTTTTTGTCTCATACTTTGTTTTCTTTTAGATTTTCACGCAGACTTATACAAAGACTATCTGCGCATAACTATCTCTAATTTATCAAACAGTGAGAATTGACCTTCACTCCTATAACTCACCCGCGGTTCCAAGGTGTGAAGTGTGTTTTTGATGAAAGTGATCGTAAACCAATAATTTTCAGATTCACTGTTTAGCCACATTATTCATTAGTACGTACCTGGATCCCCTTTTTCAGTGCCTTGATTATTGCAGTTATTTTCAGATCAGTCAACAGAGGGCCAATACATGATATTCTTTGAAACTGCTCTCCTCTCAGATCGTCATGATGATATTAATCATACCTCGTGGAAAGTAGTAATCATGCAACGTTCCAATTATAAGAAAAACTTAATCTACTATTCATGTTAAATATCTTCTAATGTTAGATATATCTCTCAATAATATAGAGTTTTTCCTCAAATGTACAAGACTGATTTTGCAAAATTTATAGAAACAAACTGAGCGAGCAGTTCAGATACAGACAATTTCTGTCTTAGATTTCTTCTCAGTATTTTGTTGAACATGATACAGTAGCTCCTATAATAGCTGTCGGATAACTGACATGACGGTTTTTAGGACTGTAATTTTTTTTTACTTGTCACAAGGGTGAGTCACACTATTTCATTATCATTATAAATCTACTTATACCCACTAAATATCTGTTTATTAAGAGCTTCTAACTTCAACAATTTGATCAAAAATGTTGTTTTCTGGACTGAAATAAATAGTGGTATCCCTGAAACGTGCATGTAACCTTATAGTCAGAATGGGTTTTTCGTTTGGTTCGTTAGAATATGATCCTTTTTAAATATTCATTCATAGATTACTGAAACTTTGTTCGATTTTTTATTATCTTCTGTCAGACATCTTGCTTAAGTTGTCACTGAAAGAGAAAAGTAATTAACATATATCTAATACAGTTAATGAAAACACACAATACTGCGGATTGAACTTTTGAATCACATGCACATTCTTACGCTGATGACAGCACAGTCATATCTTGTTCAAAGTTTACACGTATGTCCTATATCACATTATTTTATCGACATTATTCATTAGCAGAAACCATGAGTAAACAATTCCATAGGTAAAATATACTTTCCATGTTTCACAAATATTTTTTAACTTTTCATTTACATCAGGTACGAATCTTCATTTAATACATCTGTATAATATGCCAGTAGAGATAGGGAATAAAGAAATAAAGAAAATATGTGTTTGTTGGTTTATTATTATATATTGTAGTCAAAAATAAAAAAAAGTGTTCCAAAAAAGAAATAGAACCCCGCAAAACATAAATAAGTTGCCACTCAAAACTACAGTTTCACATTAGTTTTCCTTAAGTATTGAAGCTGAGTATAAATGAAAAAACATGATTCACCATTAAAATAACATAAAATCTGAATAGTAAACTGATTGATGTATTCTCAAGATTAAACTTCATAACCAGCTCTTTTTATAGGTGATATTAATTTACAGACTCCAGAGGCGTTTTTCGCTCATAGATAACGTTTGACAGGAAAACTTTTAAATCAAACTCCTACTGAGCCATCAGCTGAGTCCTTAGGGGATTTTAGTTGCAATTTTCTGAGCATTTTGTCTCGCCCAGAGGAAAACCTAAGAAAAAAATGTTATTCAATTTAATGGATCAGTAAGCAATACAAAATACGTTTGGAGGGTTGAAACAGATTCTATTATTCACAAAATATTAGTAATGTCTTGGATATTTGACACTAATAGGTGAACGCTTATAGCAGCAACTTTCTCGGGTTTAGTAGGGACTGTAACATCAGAATTGTCTAGTCTTATGCTCATATAATCAAGTAAACATCAGAATAAAAAGAAAAAAAAGCCAATTAAACAGAAAAATTTGCAGACAAATTTCTAAGATTAAAACATATATTTGTTGGTAATATGAAAATTAACCTTTTACCTTTCATCACCCTATAAACTGAATACGCGGTTTTGTTTATTTATTTATATGAATGGATTGTTATACTAAACATTTTTTTGAAAAAGTAATAAGGAAGGTATTTTTATCTATGAATGAGAAGCATTATTTGAATGAGGCAAAGGATTGAGTACGTTATATTAAAACGAATTTGATCGTGCAAATTAACAGGGCACGTGATAATCCTAGCCAATTTAAGTCGCAGTGGAACTGAATGTATCAGAACTACAGTTAGACATTTCTTATCGATACACAGGTATTGTGATGCCACCGAAAATGAATCGCTTTTGAAAATGCCATATGACGCAAAATATTCACTAAGATAATAAAGTGTTCGGATCAGTTATTAAGAATTTCGAAAACAGGAATACTCCATCTACTTAATGTACAAAGGATTACCAATAGTGTAAGCCACAATCCATAAGAGAAGTAATTATTGAATTTTTTAAAGTCGACAACAATCTTGAAATTACAGTCTTGGCCAACTGTAAAAAGATATGTAATTCAGCATTTTACCTATCACAACAAAACCTTACCGAAACATATACAATGATAAAATATGTCATCAAAATATTATAAATAGCGTCTGTAACCTTATGTCAGTTTATATTAAACATTCAGTACTTGGTTGATCCTCCTCATACTCTAATCCACCGTGATTTGATCCCAACTCTCACTAGAAGGCGCTGCAACTCAGCTACAATAGCTGGTTTAGGGTTGTGGTTAGCAATTTTCCGGTTCAGTTCTGTCCAACAGTTATTAATGGAATTGCAATATGGAGACGTTGCTGGCCATGGTAATCTTGTAACGTCCTCCTGATTGAGATTATCCTGTATAATAATACGCACACTATGGAAAGTGACACTGTTATCCTGGAAAAGAAAGTTATTGCTAAACCTTGCCCTAGCATATGGCAGAAATATCGTCTCCATTTGATGCCTGTAGGAGGCGCCATTGATGTTTTCCTGGAAGATATGATTAACAGTTTTTCCACCATGATGAACAGCTGCCCAAACATGTACCACACCGCCTCCTGTGGGAAAGACAGTTTTTCTCATCTGCTTTCCAGGAAAACGACGAGCACTAATCCTACCATCAGCTTTAACAAGCCGGAAGTAGGACTCATCTGAAAAAGATGACATGTCGCCAGTGTCTTAACTATAAGTTGGCATGCTTTCTTGCCCAAGTAACATGGTGACGGCGGTAGATTCTGGTTAATATTGGTTTGGAGATAGCTCCTCTTGCAAAATAATTTGCATAATAAATTCACTGTTCTTCTGGATACTCTGTAATGAATGTTTCATGTCATTCCTGTCGTAAGGTGTCGCAAGACTTCTTTCGAGCTTGACGTGTTAACCTGATCAAAGCACGGTCATCTCGGTGTAGTAGTTTTTCGGCGTCTACCAGTAGACCTTCCTTATATGAAATGTAATTTTGCCTTGTTTTCTCAAAGACACACGATTATTTTGCAAGGAGTTATGTGTAATAGGTCAAATTTTCAAAAAGGTACATAAGGTATTTGATTTATTTCGTTACTGTATAACAACACTACACACAAGCAAAAATACATTTTAACACTTTAGCTTAGTTCAAATGCTTGAAAAAAGAATGATACACAAATGATGTCTTGTGAGCATTTATTGTTATGCATCAGATAAATAAAGACAGTAATTATTGCTCTTCTTTATATCGAAAAAAATTAGATTGTATTTACAGAGGTTATAGAAATAACCTTAGATTATAGCACTAATGTTTTAGTACTGACACATAACGTTCCTGTAGTAAGGATGTCTAGTGAATTATAATGGTACAATGTACTTGACATATATATTTCATTTTGAAGTGAAAAATCATATTTGTAGTAGTTAGCATGATCCTGTAATTGAACAAAATTTAGTATGTTCAGCATATCTGTATTTCAGAACATTGTTTTTTTTTTTTTAGTAGTGACATTTATTTTATCTAATGGCTAGTTATTCTAATTTTTCAAATGTTTAGATTATACAAACTTTTACAGCGAACATCTTTTGTGTTGCTCTAGTTTTATTCATATAAATATTACAAACTGTATTTACTATCTAAATCGAATCAAATGTTGTGTAGAAAGTCGAGAATCTTTTTATATCACGAATTACTAATAAAATATAACACGCGAATATAATTGCTTTACGCTGTTTGTTTGACTATCATAGTCAAATACGTTCCTTTGGTTAGAATAACATTGGTAACTTCAAGAAAAGTTTCACATGAATGCAAATCCTATAGCAAATGGCACCCTAGGGCTTAGTTGTTAAAATGTTTATAATGTAAACTTAAATTAGCATTTTAATTGAGTTTTTCGACTCCTATGTTTTCACACTTCTCTTTAAAATAATGATGATGTGAAACACAACCATTGGTATTCAGAAAGTCATCGCCTAAAAGATTAAATTATTCACCCACTAAATATGTGAATTTGACGATTAGTTTGCCACAAATGCATATATATTACTTACAAAAAACGTTTTCCCTCTTTTATCTACAATTTTCAAAGGATAACAACTGAGTATTTATTTATTTTTAATCGCAACAAGTACAAGTACAATAACATTATTTTCATATACTGAGGTTATGCCCACGCTCTTTGTTTTAATTGTAGGCAACTTATGAGTTAAGTAATAAGAGTTTGTGTGTTGCTTGAAAAAGAAATTCTCGTGATCTGCTTCCTATGATGGGTATTATATAATTTTATAGCAGTATATTCTTATTAGCATATTATTTTTATAATTACTAATTATTTTTACTTAGACATCTAGTTTAGCGTTTTGAAGTTTGTTCATAATTAGTCATTAAATTATTATTTTGATAGATACTTGTATGCAGGCTAATTTACTAAAGCGTACATATTAATAATATAAATATTTCTGCTATAAAGGCAAAAAGTAAATATCAAGAACCCGTTGATTGAAGTTTAATGTGACCTGCATAAAAATGAGAAAAGTCTTAATTACACACTTTAATATTAGTAGCTCTAGTTGTAATGAGATATTTGGACAACAACAGCAATCTTTGAAGTATTAAGTTGTTTCTATTCGTTTATATTAAGAACAATAATACCTGACGTATAAAGAATGGTAACTTAAAACTCAAGAAACTAGAGATCGATGTTGTGCGAGATTTTAACTAAAGTTCTAGAGAATTGGAAAAGGATCGATTTCTAATTTTCTTCTTCCTGTTTGCTCCCCGGTGGGTCAGCAGTAGGTTTACGGGATTACAACGCAAAAATATGGAGTTCGATTCCCCATGTGGACAAAGTGCAGATGACCCATTTCGAAGCTTTGCGTTAGGAAAACTTTTTTTTTCTATTTTTTATGTTTCATGTTCGTTTGTTGAATTGCACGGAAAGCTACAAGAGGGCTATCTGCACTAGCCTTCCCTAATTTAACAGTGAAAGATGTTTCATGACCAATCCACACATATCTTTAATATATAAATTAAACGTCATCTCGTAGACTAACAAGTCACGTAAATTCAATCCTAGAGAAGGGCGGCTTTATTTTAATAGTATGATTAAGTGTGAAAAACAAGAAAATTGTAAATATTTAATAAAGTGCACGTATATCTTAAAACAAGACATCAGTCCTAAAATTGTTCTCATACCCTATACACATCGTCCACTTTTTCTTGAAATATAGAGCCTTAAGCATGTATTGTACATGTTGTGTGTTGCACTCTGTTGAATAAATCATTATACACGATTTATGATGCTTAAGTCTAGTAAGATTTATAGGTGGAAAGTTAACTTATACAATGTTTCTCTGCAATTTTTAAAATTATTGCATACATACAAGGAATTTCAGACTTCAAATTTTCACCAAAATCTAGTAATTGTTCGTATTTCATAGAGATGAATGGATCTGTTAAAATCCGCACTAGAAAGATTTTGATGATTCTATCAGATAATATGAGGAGACAACGTAAGTCATATATTACGCGCTAACATCGCCTGACCTCTTAGTCATGAGACTTCATTTCACACACAATTCATAGTTGCCTGAACCCTATGATGAATGTTATGCGACCAGATTTGTAAAATACAGTCAGATGAATTATGGACTTCTTTCGGTAAAACACATCATATTTTACTTAATTATTTTATAACCTCTTTATTGGAATATTAATTCCTATCTTTCTGTTATTCTGTTTGAATAAAATACAACAAATGCAGTACTAGAGTTAATGATGAAAATTTGAATCACTCCTAAAAATTGCAAACGACATTGATTTGCCGTAATTGGTTTTAAATACCTCAGACTCAGCTGCATTGTTTTGAGAATACAATGTTTAATTTCAGCGTTATGTCGGTGGAGGCTAAATTATTACTTTCTGTCTTAATATCTTTAATGTTCTTAAACACTGAGTTGTGAAAGGCAGATTTACTTTTCCTGAGAACTTAACTTTATTGATCAATTATCGTGAGCTGTGGCTCATCATAATCTTAGTAAATGTTACTTTTCTATGAAAAATGGTTTTCATATTGCTTAACACATCCATTTACAGACTGTCTTACCGTTAACATGCTGACAAAAGCCGGTCCTTTTCTTTTTTTTTACATTCAAGCAATATTAGCAATGTTAGTGTTTGGTTTGCAAAAGATATGTAGAATAATAACATCCAGCCTTATATA